CCCCCTATATAATAGCAATAACAATAAGTGCAAAAAAATAAATATAAATAAAAAAAAATAAAAGTAACATATAAAAAAAGGGGAAAAAACCCCCCAAAATGTTTAACTCCCCCACTTTTACACGCCTATAAACGTAAATACGCGTCCGGTGCCCCAGCGCGCAAAAATTACAATTGCGCTACACATGTTACATATCGCCGTGAACGTCGCAGTGAGAGCAATCATTTTAGGGCCATCAATCACTGATAACGCTAAACTGATGAGCGGTAACCGCTTTTAAAGCGTCGCCTGTGGCCAATTTTGGGTATTATCGTTTTTTGAGGTTTTGCGCGCGCACGCAATTTTAAGGCTTGACATGTTTGGTGTCTTTTTACCCGACGTGACCCCGACTTTTATATTTTACCAAAAAATTGGGTAATAATAAATGTTTTATCATTTAATATAGGGGAAACTGTTTTTTTTTTTTTTAATTTCGGTGATTTTTCCTTAATATAGTAAAAAAATAAAACCCCCAGTGGTGAATAAATACCACCAAAAGAAAGCTCTATCTGTCCCCAAAAAAGGGTATAAAATTCATTTCAGTACAGCGCTGCATGACGGAATAAATGTCAGTTAAAGTACCGCAGCGCTGAATACTGAAAAATGGCCTGGATGGGAAGGGGGTTTAACACCGCGGATGTCAACTGGTTAAAGAAAGACTGGCCTATTTCCCACACTAGGCTTGCCTGGAGCCCATGATCTCCCCAATCTGCATTCTGGGTGATGAATATCTCCTATCCACCACCTTGTCTGCCATGCGAGCCCACACTCTGTCCCAATACACTTTAACCAATCAAATCCATTGAAATCTCAGATTGTACAGTCAATAATCCTTCATTTTTGTTTTCAGCTGCTATAAAGTTTTTCTTGTATCTCCATCCTGAAAATAATATATCTGTCTGATACAAGGCCGTGTTCTCTGTCTGTATTCACTTTTCTGTCACTTTGTACAGTCTAACACGTGATATTAGCACTACATAAATAATATGTATGCTGCTACTGGTGAAGAATATAGAAATTATTTTTGGAAGTACTAGCATACTGTAGGGGGTCGCTTTTAAATTTCTGCACTTCAAATGAGCAGGCACACGGCCCTTCTGTGTCTCTGCATGGTTCCTGAAAATAGAAATCACAGCCATTTTTAGAGCTCCCTGGATTAGGCAGATGCCAGGATAGTAGATTAAACTCCATTCCAGATGGTACACAAATAGAAAATACAGTCAAGAGTCTCCATTCTATAAAATGTACTCGCTAATTATGTGCAATAAAAACCCAATTCCTGGAGACAACCATTGAGCTTCTGCTTTGCTATCTTTCTTCAAAGCAGCCAAGTGCAGATTTGCAGTAGACCTTAAAGGTACAGTCCCACCATGGATATTTTGTATTTAAAGGGAATCTGTCTCACGCACACACGTATTTGGATGTACAGCTTTTTCATGGCATAACATATATCTGTTCAGTCAACCAGTCAGTCAGTGTTCAGAATAATGTGTTTGGATTAATATGATTATTACATTTAGTATTG